TTTTTGTACTCTGCAGCTTAAAATGCTGTTTGAAAGAATCTTAGAAATAAGAATCATTTATTTTCCTAACTCTAACAGTATACGAATAGTAGCCCTAATCGTAGCTTCCAGACACTTGTAGATCAACCTTCTTACATTTTTTTGCCCTTATTGGGATAAATCAGAACTTTGAAGAATAAGAGAGCTGCAATAACTTGCCACCAATGAGAAAGCGTGAATACTAAAAGCAAGAGTGGAAGAAAGTTTGAAACGCATGAGGGCATAAAGATAAGCCAAATATTCTTTGACCACGGTAATTGATAAGCCCTACCAATATTAGACGGGTGTGTGAATTCAGACTTTGGGGAGTGTCCTATAAATCGAGCATCATTCTATACTGAGACCATTTTCATTCCTGGTATTTAGTTACATCGGCCTGAATCGACTGTAAAGGTACATAGGAAGATAATTATTGGTATTTCTGGAGGTGTTTACCAAGAAAGTTAGAATAAATAGAGCAAGCCGTGTGTCCCATGCAATGAAAATGAAGCCATGACACGTTACGATATGGCGTCACAACTAATCATGACCGCTGCCATAGGCGAACTTCTGGTTGATGGTAGTTTACATTCTAATTTGTGCTGTCTATATGTTACCTATACAACATTCAACGTTTATAAAGTCTCCCGTTCTAATTTTAATACTTAATATAATTTATTTTCTACTTAGTTTATAGAAAAATCGCAAAGACTACGAATAACTGTTTCAAATTTAATAAAATCTAGGTACATGAAAATGTGTGAATGATAACTATAAGACAAAGGTATACATGATAAAACCTGGAAGACCACTAAAAGTTTCAATATTATTTTATGCAAATTATGCCTTCTCAACCTGTGGACGCTGATAGTTGCTCTCAAAATCAATGTAATTTTATTTAACAATATGTTTCGAAATCTTATCTTTACGCGGGTGTACTCCAACTGTGCTAATGAAAATTCCCCCCCGGTCTATCTATAGTCCAACTGCGCCAATCAAAATTTCTTCCCCTTTCTGCCTACAGGGTTACAATTTAACTTTTCGAAGCCAATTGTAGCCAAGAGGAAAATAAAAATAAATAAATAGAATTACATATCACAAGACCAAGTAAAAAATACGAGTATCTAACAAGCAGGTTAATTACTTGAATAACAGTAATAAATGCGAGAGCTAACAAAGAAAATAAAAGGTATTGGTAAACAGACATTATAAGCATTACAAACATCTTTCATTTATTATGATAATATCATAAATTAAATAATTATAAGCATACAAATTATATTTTTAATAAATTACATCAATAATATTCAAGATGTCTGAACTAGACCGGAAAATTTAATAGAGTTCACTGGCGTGCAAAAAATTATTCCATATCAAAGTGTGCTAAAAATATTTTTTGTTAATTAAAGTAATCATGTAAATGTTTTCAAAAATTAAATTTAGTTAAATTTAAAAAAAAAAAAACTTAGAATGAAATCTATTATAACAACATTACTATGCATTTGGAACACTGACGTATAAATTGTAAATAAATTTAAATTATTATGCTAAGAAGTTTTTTCTAAAATTTATCTAGAAGAAAAGGAATTAGATAAAAACAATACTGCAAATTAATATAATCAATCAGGCCTCTCAATAAATAAAAGCTTAAAAGTTTTTTTTTAACCAAAAATTAAAAATTGGGATGCAAAAGTTTGAGTAATATACTGGGAAATATCAGAACATATAATTAATTAGAAATGTATAATTAAATTAATAACAAGCTAATTAACAATAACATTAAGCTTAATTTCATTCAATTTAAAACAAGCAATCGATCAGGAGCTCCGCGTAACTGAAGTTTTAATGCTATTTTACGTAGATTTGCGTATAAAATAAAAGTTGCACTTGTGAAACAAGTGAATAATGTACTGATAGTCAACAGGAATTAAAATACAGTGGTTAAAAATATAACTACTTGTCAGAAGGTATACAAAGTTGCCATGGCTAGAGAAGTTGAATGATTATAGAAAACTCATAAAGTTAAGCGCTACAGTGTGAAAATAAAATTCTGGATTAAACATGTTAAGAAAATTAGATAGAGAAATAATCCTTAATTTATTGATATTCATATAAACTTCACTGGGACTAGAAAATCGGGTCGAACTACCAATGTTTAGTGACTTTTCCGCTTCATCATAATACCTTTTGAAATTAGGCTGAACAATATATTAAAGAAAGTAGAAGATACAGCACACATAAGAACAAAAGTGGGCTGAATTAGAGATTTACATGTTTAATGAATGAGTTAAACTTAGCTGTATGCCATTATGAAATATTAGGAATGTAGCATAAAAGCATGAGTGAAGAAGGCAACGGCAGTCTAAATCATTGTAATCTAAATGTATACCATTATCAGTATCTGCTATTAATTTCATACTGATGAAAAAATTATAAATGAATTATATTATAAATCATAGGAACTCGTTGCATTATAAATTTCAACAGTTAGAAATATTATTAGCGTGATTTAGCGACCATCTTTGTTAACAAATAATTTCAAGTAATTAATTTTACGAATAATTCAACCTGAAACTAGGTTAGAAAACAAGCTACATGCTGAAGATTAAGCTTTGCCAAGGTGTTAGAAACATCTTTTGTTAACTAGAGTTGTGATGCAAGAATTTGTAAAAATTATCATTTAAATATAAATTGGCATAAATACAATACAAAGTATATAAATTCTACATACATGAAAACTTGAGTACAGTGCAACAATATGTGAAAAAGGAATGGATTAAAAGGGAACTGAAAATCCCAGGATATGAATATAAGGGAGTTCGATTTTTTTTCTGCAGACGCTCATAATTATTAATTTATTTATTAAATGTGTATTAGAAATTAAATGTCTGCCAAAGTACATCAGATGGAAAACAGAATAAATATTTAAACGTTTCTAGTATTAAAATATGGAATTTGTAACAAAGTTAAATAACCTTAAAATAACTTCAATGACTAAAAATGGAAATTTAATACGGGAATATATTTCAATAATATTAGTGTGGATTTAGAACGACTTAAGAAGTCCAATTTTTAGATTTAATAAAGAGAATTTTTTTAATTAAATTAGAACTGTTTACCTAAAATGGTAAATTTGAAAGTTAAAACCATTCTGCTATCTAAGAAGATTTGTTAATATTTATCTAGACAAGAAACTTATTTAAGGTGAGCTACAAATCCGATATTTGATAGGTTGATTATGTATCAGTTTTGTGTATGTCATTAATCTATCAAGTTTACTATTCAAAACTGATATATATATCTATCAGCGACTAAAATCTACAACTTGGAAAGTTTTAATTCTTGCAGAGAATAAAAAAGATCTGTCTCATCATTGCTTTAAGCATCATAAAACTTTAAAATGAGTGTAAAAGAAATTTATTTTTACCTTAGCACACGCCAGACTTTAAATTAATATTTGTTTTGCATGCACAATTTTTACAATATTGATAAACGAAAAAAAGGCTTGCAGTCTGAATAGAATGTCCCATTAATGGCGATAAATGACTTTTTGTAGCACCCAATCTTCTTGGTAAAGAAATAGGGGACAAGAAACGTCGCGCAGTTCGTGGATTAGAAAAGAGGGGGACAAGGATTTTCGATCAAATTTGGCGCAGTTCGTACCCTACCCTTTACGCTGTATGGCGGCCATAATCTTGTTGACATTTTCTTGGCTTCATGTTTGTGACTTCAGTGCTTACTCCGAATGGACCTTATAAGAAAATCCATGTTACTCCGTCTATTCTAACTTCCTTGTGTGTCGATTTGTAGACATTTCGTCTGCACGTCGTAAATTGTGCCATTCCTTCGATTACAGCGTATCTTTTTTCCGCTGGTTTTTTTTTTTTTTTTTTTTTTTTTCAATAATTAATTCAGTTTTTTTTTTTTTGTTACACCCATTTTTTTATCAAGAGTCACTATGTTGTTGTATTGTAAATTCTCTCACTTGTCTGTCACTCTGGCGCATTTATCATGTCAGTTAGTGTTACAATGTATTTCCATTTTTCTTATGTTAAATATCGTTCATACTGAACTCTACAACATTTTCTAAGTTCAGCCACACGCCACAGAAAAGTTCGGTGAACATTTTCTTTTTTAGATTTACCAAACTGAAAATCTTTGTTTAGTATTTTATTTAACTTCTTGTAGAATGCCTTTAAAGACTTTTCAGCTGATTTTTGTGTCGGAGAATTTTCTGTTAAATACAGATTATTAAAAACATTAAAAAAAGTCAGAAAGATTGTTACCTTTACGAATATTAATTTTAATTTTGTTTTCGAAATAAAAGTAATGACTGATAATTTTTCTCTTTTTGATTAATAAACACTGGTGCTTATTATGCTTTTAGAAATTTTCATATCATGTATTTGGCACAGTCATTCAATTTCAGGATAACAACATTTCTGTTCAGGAGAGTCAAAAACATAGCTTTTTAATCTACAGCTAATTTACAAGTTACGTTTTGGAAGAAAAATTATTTTCAAGGTAACAGACGATGTTTCTCATATCAACTATGAACTGTTGTCAGAAATGCTTCATTCCATAACACTTAGATTTTCGGAATGCGTTATCCAAATCGTTCTGAAAATATGCTAACGTTCTCTGTATTTCTGGAGAAAAATGAGAAAGGATAAATCTATAATTTAAAGAGAAAGATAATTACTCGTATATTAAAAATTTAAAGTGGAAAAGGCTTCAACCCCATTCAAAAATCGACTATGCCTGCTACTTTTCGAAGATAACTTTAATCTTGTCTACTTATCGCTTAATAAAAAAAAATGCGCACGAACTGTTTACGAATTTAATACCCTTGCGCATACGAAACTGAACAGGGGAAAAAAAAAAGTCACTCGTGAGTATTAATTTCTGGTTGCCATCTCAAAGGCCGAGGAATATCGTACACGTCACTATTTCGTCATTTCCTGTGACTGGTGATTTGACAGATATTAATTTATTCATGTAAAGTTTGGAAGTTCACATCCAGAGTGAACGTCAACATGTGGTTAGCTGTTGCTACTGCTGTTGCGGTTGTAATTGTTCTGCTGTTACGGTAAGTAAGAGCTGATTTTCGCTAATAAATCATCGTAAAGTAAATTATAATGTATGGCATTTTTTAAATAATTGATAATTTTGCATAATTGTATAGTACTTTCGTTGTCAAATGTTAAAAAGAATTTATAAAATTTGTATTCTACTTATAAATCATTGTTTCAGTAGCTTTCAATAAAAATTTTATTTTTAGTTTATTCTTTACTAAAGAATATTTTGCCGAATATTATTCACGATGATTGCTTTTCAAAATAAAAACATGCTTTCCTGTTAAGTGCACAAAATGTATTCTTAACTTTTTAATAAAGTAGATAGCTTCTTATGCTCTAACATATTCAAATAATCTAACCTAATCATAACTTTACAAAGCATTACAGCGAAACCATCACACATCTAGACTAGAAGAGAAACACGCTAATGTGACAATCAAAATCGTAAAAAACAACCTTATATTTAGCGTAGGTATAATGAAACACTCAATCGATTTCGAGGGCAGCTAAAGGTCCCTCCTCATCAGGAGAAAGAAATACATAGAAAGAAGAAAATAGGAGTCACAGAAACACGTAGTGCTTATCAGCACTGCACGTGGTTATAACTAGATTTTTAATCAGAGTTGCACTGGCCGCCTACTTTTACTGAGCCAGGCTGTCTGATCAAGTATAAAGAAATATTAGCGAAGTTAAAATAGGGAGCGAGGGGCAAATGCACATTACGCTCAAAATCTGAACTTCAAATAATGAAAAGCAACCACTGAACGGATTTTTATACCCTCTGGTAGTACCAAGCGCGAGGAGGTAACGCCATCTATCAAAAATAATTGAATTAAGATAGTAGAATTTTAAAGGCATTAGGAAGGACTGGATTGGACTTCAAATCATTAACTAAACTTTCTAAATTTTTGTGAATGTGAAAAGCCTCAAGAAAATCCAATTCGCCTATGGAAGAAGCCTTTTGGATGATTTTTGCAGACCCAAAATCAAAATTATGATTAAAAGTCCAGCTATGATATGCTATTGAAGACTTGTTAATTTCGCCTTTTTTGACATAAGATTCATGTTCCTTGATACGAAACTTCAACGCTCTTTTTGTTTGGCCAATATATCTTAAACCACACTGACATGATATACTATAAATTCCCCAAGAATTCAAGACAGAAACGCAATCTTTTAGAATCGAAGGGTGAATTTTATTAATAGGGGATAAAACCGACTTGAAAATTGAATTTCTGGAGAATCCGTGCAATTTTATAGCTAACAGAAGGATAAAATGGAAGCACGACAAGGTCATTAATATTATTTCTAACAGTGGAATGTCTTCTTTGATGGGAATCTGAGAATTTTTTGACGGCTTTATCAATAATCACGGGAGAAAATCCACGGTCAATCGCAACTGCTCTCAAATAATTAAGTTCATTGGTAAGCAAAGATTCAGAGGAACAAACTTTTAGCGCGCGGAAAACATAATAGTAAAAAGAAGCCATTTTTTGCTTAACAGGGTGGCATGACTTGGCATGGGGTGGTAAACAAACTGCAAAGGGTTTACGGTACACAGTGGTGCTAAAATCGGTTTCATTGCGGATCATAAGAATATCGAGGAAGGGGAGGGAATTGTTGGATTCAATTTCAAGAGTGAATTGGATGGCTGGATCAATTGAATTCATAATAGATAGAATCTCGGATATAAATCCTCTTTATAACCGTCAAAAAGTGCGAAAGTGTCGTCAACATACCGAATCCAAAGACGAAAAGATAATTTATCAAATAATTTCATCTCAAAATAGTGCATATAAATGTCAGCAAGTACCGGACTGAGAGGATTACCCATAGCCAATCCTTCAACTTGACGAAAATATGCATTTTGGAAACCAAAGTGGGTTTGACTTAGAGAAACTTTAGTAAGCGAAACCAACTCATTAATTTCAGTATGTGTGAAGTGAAATTCCCGAAGCCTAGTTTCAAGACAATTTAGTGCTCCTTCGACCGGAACATTAGTAAACAATGATTTGACATCAAAAGAAACCATAATGGAACGAAGTGGGGAAATATTTTTAAGTTTATCAATGACGTCAACAGAATTTTTTACAGTGTGAATATTGTTAGCAAGTAGAGGAGAAAACTCCTCTACTTGCTTCAAAGCAAAAAATGGCTTCTTTTTACTATTATGTTTTCCGCGCGCTAAAAGTTTGTTCCTCTGAATCTTTGCTTACCAATGAACTTAATTATTTGAGAGCAGTTGCGATTGACCGTGGATTTTCTCCCGTGATTATTGATAAAGCCGTCAAAAAATTCTCAGATTCCCATCAAAGAAGACATTCCACTGTTAGAAATAATATTAATGACCTTGTCGTGCTTCCATTTTATCCTTCTGTTAGCTATAAAATTGCACGGATTCTCCAGAAATTCAATTTTCAAGTCGGTTTCTCCCCTATTAATAAAATTCACCCTTCGATTCTAAAAGATTGCGTTTCTGTCTTGAATTCTTGGGGAATTTATAGTATATCATGTCAGTGTGGTTTTTTAAGATATATCAATGGCCAAACGGGAAAAGAGCGTTGAAGTTTCGTATCAAGGAACATGAATCTTATGTCAAAAAAAGGTTCGAAATTAACAAGTCTTCAATAGCGTATCATAGTTGGAACTTTTAATCATAATTTTGACTTTGGGTCTGCAAAAATTCATCCAAAAGGCTTCTTCCATTAGGTGAATTGGATTTTCTTGAGGCTTTTCATATTCACAAAGATTTAGCATGTTTAGTTAATGATTTTGAAGTCCAATCCAGTCCTTCCTAACGCCTTTTTAAAATTCTATTAATCATAATTCTTGGTTATTATTTTTGCCGATAGATGGCGTTACCTCCTCGCGCTTGGTACTACCAGAGGGTATAAAAATCCGTTCAGTGGTTGCTTTTCATTATTTGAAGTTCAGATTTTGAGCGTAATGTGCATTTGCCCCTCGCTCCCTATTTTAACTAATATTTCGCTAAATTTCTTTATGCTTGATCAGACAGCCTGGCTCTCAGTAAAAGTAGGCGGCCAGTGCAACTCTGATTATAGTTATCCACGTGCAGTCTTAAGCACCTGTGTGATCCTTTTTTTCTCTATTATTTTCTCTGGAGAGGATTTGGCTCGAACCTTTGTTCATTATACCTACGCGCAGTTTTTATGTATCAAATCTGTACAGTGTCTCACAAAAGTGATGGGACACTTGTGCTTTACAAAAGGAAACTGTAGTAAAATAAATTTTAAAAAACATGTAAAAATTTTTGTGGGTGTGTTTCATACTTAAATTTAGTAACAATTATTACATAACATACATTTTCTCAAAATATTAAAATATTAATTTAATAAAAATACAATTGTTTAGAACGGAGCAAAAAAAAATGGCTCACATAAGTGATGGGACACTTACTTTTCCATCAAATATTTATCCAAAAATTTTACTTTTTAAAAGGTTTTAATATTTTGTTGGATTTCCTTTTACTTTTAAAACATGATTTAATCTTCTTGGGATGGATTCGACTAATTTTTTTGTGATTTCTGGAGTGATTTTACCCCATTCTTCTTGAAGCACCGATTTTAATTGTTGTTTTGAAGAAATGGTGTGTTTGCGAATTCTTGATTCCAATTCTTGCCAAATATTCTCTATGGGATTTAAGTCTGGAGATTGTGGTGGTGTTTTTATTATTTCAGGACAGTTATACAGCAGCCAGAGTCTAACGTTCAAAGCAGTGTGCTTGGGGTCATTGTCCTGGTAGAATTTAAAATCGTTATGAAGGTTCAATTTTCGTGCTGAAGATTTCAAATTTTGATTTAAAATGTCAATATACTTGTACTGATCCATTATACTGTCAATAAAAACAAGATTACCAACTCCAGCGGACGACATACACCCCCATACCATATAACTCCTCCTCCACCATGTTTTACTGTTGGCACCAAGTTCTGTTTGCGAAATTCTTTCCCTGGGTTTTCTCCACACCAAGATTCTACCGTCAGAACCAAATATATTAAATTTACTCTCATCAGCAAATATAACTTCATTCCAGTAATCAGAATTCTTATTTATGTTGGATTTTGCGAAAGCCAGTCTGAGTTGAGTTTCTATTCTTTTCACTTACGAAGAATTTTTTCCTGGCTGCTCTACCGTGATATCCAGCAGATCGAATTACTCTTCTAATAGTCTCAGGATTAACAATTACTCCATATAATGCTTGTAAATCAGCAGCAACTTTAGGAGCACTCATTCTTGGATTTTTTTTAATATTTCGAACGATAATTCGCTTTATTCCATTGGATAGCTTTGATGGTCGGCCAGGTCTTCTTTTATCCTGAATCATATGATTCTTTTTATATCGTTTAATGATATTGAAAACTGTTGAATGAAGTTAACTGTTTCAGCAGTTTCTCTAATAGATTTTCCACGTTCAATATGCAAATTAATAACTAATTTTCGAATTTCAGGCAAAGTTTCTTTTCGTTTAGCATTCATGGCTGCACAGAGCTAAAAAACACAAAAATTCCAAAACAAACTGGAGAGAAATACTGCAGACGATTTTATAAATTATTGCCAATTGCTTTTGAGTAAAAATAAAAACCCAAAAAAATATTTTATTGTAGTACGTAGTAGTATCTAATGGTGTCCCATCACTTATGTGAGGCATTTTTTGCTCCTTTCTAAACAATTGTATTTTTATTAATTTAATATTTTGAGAAAATATACGTTATGTAATAATTGTTACTAAATTTAAGTATGAAACACACCCACAAAATATTTTTACATGTTTTTTTTAAATTTATTTTATTACAGTTTCTTTTTGTAAAGCACAAGTGTCCCATCACTTTTGTGAGACACTGTATGTCGTCCTACGCCACTTTACAACGGAAATGTTTAGACCGAAAATTTTTACGCAAAGAATACAGTCAACTCGCTATTAAATGTGGTTCAAGAAATTATATATTAAAACATTTTAGTAAACGCATTTAATTACGCAGATTGAAGATAC